GCCCTGAGGGTCCCACCAGCGTGGCGGCACAGGCCGGCAAACAGTTTCACAGTCAAGCGGTGTTTCGCAGCCTTTCAGGAAGAAGCAAAGATGGCGCACAGAGCCAGGTATTTGAGAGAAAGGAGGGGGAGGTGGTGAGAGGTAAGAAATCTAAAGAAGTGGAAAAAAGCAACACCAGCAACCAACAGAAGGCAGTCAGGGAGCTGGCCAGTGTGGGCGGGTGGAATCCAAGTGACACCAGGGTGAAGCTGGTGCTTCCCGGCCAGGAGACTGTGGCTTGTGGGGGTAAAGAAGGGTGGGGAGTGGGAAAGCCTATATCACTGGTTAGCAGTTGTTCTGTCTCCTGCTGGAAGCTCCAGGAAGCTGCTTTCTCATATCCCCTGTTCGCTGATCTGTGATTGGAGTCCAAGATGGCAGATCCGTGCTGTGGTAGCTGATAGGGGACCTCTGCACGTATCTCTCTTCGCTGTCTCTTTTTGGTCAGTTTCTTATTAAATTTGGTGCTTGGCTGAGTTCTTCATCTCTTCATTTGATGCTTAGGATTTCAGGATTGACTTGTGACTCTGTTTGCCTTAGTTTTTCTGATCTTTGCTATGGAGGGATGGCGTGGTGCTTCTGACTGTAGTGCCATGTTGCCCGGAAGTCCTCAGAATATATTTTTATCTATGTAAACTTTGCTTTCTGAAAAGATTTTCCTAAATTTTGATGGAAAACGAGCTTACATTGTTGCTGCATCAGCCTTGATGAGGGGACTGTAATGGAGTGAGATGGTATTTAGAGTTGGCTAAAATCTAAGAACAGGGTAGGGTTCTTAGGCCAGGGCAAAAATCTTAAACATTTCCATTGAGGTCATGATGATGAAAAAAAATCTACATGTCGGCTCCTTTGGGTTTTATTGAATTCTTTCTGAACAAGGCTAGGTTTCGTAAGTGAAACACTTCGAAGACTGTCCCTCTTATTCTTTATTTGAGGACAGCAGTCAGGAGAAGTATTGTCATTATTTGCATTGTACATCTGGGCATTCTTTAACTGTACCAAATGTGCTTGCATTTTCTGGCTGATTCTCTGTAAGAATTTAAAACGTGAATGTCAGTGAGCTTTATTTTTCTTTTGCAGAAGTGCTATAAAATTAAGTGTTCCAAGCATTCCATCATTTTTAGGTGGGGAAGCTGGTATTCAGATGTTTATAGACTATGATATTGAAAGAGATGATTCATCTTGTACAGGATTGTCAGAACACAATTTAAAAATGAATGTCAAACAAAAGCACTTAATCTAGTGGGAAAGTCTGAGGGGAGAATTGTGCCCATTTAAAACACTAAAATATAACCATGGTGAAGGGTACGACAGTACACAATACTGGGGAAGCCAGCACAGCTTGTACAAGGAAAGGTCATGGAAGCTCAATAGGCACATCCAGACTCCCTGAGGGACTGAATTGCTGGGCGGAGGGCTGTAGGGACCATGGTCTCGGGGAACATCTAGCTCAATTGGCATAACACAGTTTATAAAGACAGTGTTCTACATTCTACCTTGGTGAGTAGCGTCTGGGGTCTTAAAAGCCTGTGAGCAGCCATCTAAGATACTCTACTGGTCTCACCCCTTCGGGAGCAAGGGAGAATGAAGAGAACAGGATACAAGGAAAGATTAATCCAAAGGACTAATGGACCACAGCTACCAAAGCCTCCACCAGACTGAGTCCAGTACAGCTAGATGGTGCCTGGCTACCACCACTGACTATGACCAGGATCACAACAGAGGGTTCTGGACAGAGCTGGAGAAGGACGTAGAACAAATTCTAACACACAAGTAAGACCAGATTTACTGGCGTGACAGAGACTGGTGAAACCCTGAGAGTATGGCCCCCGGATACCCTTTTAGCTCAGTGGTGAAGTCACTTAGGAGGTTCACCGTTCAACTGGGGATTGGACAGCCCCATAAAACGATGAGGCATAGCAGTCCAGGGACAAGGACTAGAAGGCAGAAGGGAACAGGAAAGCTGGCAATAGGGAACCCAAGGTTGAGTAAGGACAGTGTTGACATGTAGTGGGTTTGTTAACCAATGTCATAAAACAATATGTGTACTGACTGTTTAATGAGAAACTATTTTTTTTTAAACCTTCACCTAAAATACAGTAAAAAAAAAAAAAAAAAAAACCATGGATGGAAAAAAGTAATCAATTTTTGAGTGTTCCAATGGAAGTATTTTTCATTATTATTCAGTGGCACACTCGGCAAGTGGAAAATAAAACTTAAATCATGGTCACATGCATTTACATGTCATAAAGGCAAGGACCTTTATGCCAGTTCGCTTATCAAGTATTTATTCCTCTCACATCTTTTGCTGGGCAGGTGTGTTCTTAGTGATTCATTACCCATCTTGAAAAAGTTTCAACAAAAAGATACTATGTAGACATCTAATCTCAGATTCTCCCTGGATCTTTTAATTGTTCCTGGTCTTAACTAATACCCTCCCCCACCCCCCACCCCCATATCTGAACATAGAGGAGGGAGGTGTGTGCACAGAGGAGCTAAGGAGGAGATTTATGAAATCAAGAATATTCTTGGCCTCTAGGAAAGAAAGTGAACGTTTGTCATCTTTTCCTTTCTCTTCTAGGTTGTCATTCTACTCGGGCCACTCTTCATTCTCCATGTACTGCATGCTGTTCGTGGCAGTAAGTACTTTCTGTCTACTGATGGTTGAGTTGTGTGCTGCACGGATTTAATGTGTTCAGTATGGGTGCCCTTTGCTGTGCTAAGCAAGCTGGCCGCCACTGCAAATCTCATCTGGTTAACTTCTCAATGAACTGGACTCCATCTTGGCTGCATTAAGTTGACAGGAGGAGTGGATATCTGTGCTTGGGTCAAAGACAGTGACAGTTCTTTTAAAGTGTCTCTGTCCTTCACTTAGAGATGGCAAACAGGCACATTGTATAGCAAGCTGCAAATTGGGAACCTTTAGGGTGATAGAGACTGTTTACCTTTGAAACAGCTTTTCTTTGACAGCAGTAAGAGCCTAATAGATAATCAGCAAGTCTGTAAATCTTGGTGCTAAGAATTAGTTGATGTGCCCTTACTTGGGAAATATTTTCTGAAGAGATTTTCTGAACTTACAAACAGCTTCTGTGTAATCACAGCAGGTCATTGATCTGAAGTACTGGGCCACGGGGACAGCTGTTATGTGATAACCTCGTCCCTAGTTGGGAGCTTTTATCCTCATCTTCTCAGTGTGTGGGCACCAAGCAGCCTGGCTTTTTTCCTCCCAGGATCTGCTGTGGTGAGGAGTGGATTTTGATTATTAGAAGGGAAGGCAGCTGTGTTGTTCCTCCTTGAGCAGGTTTTTGGTCCTCTTTCCACTTTCTGATGTATTTCCCAGACTGCTTTCTTTGGGATTAGAAAGGTTTCAACATCTAGGAGAGCCAGTTGGTGCTGTAGGAGCTTGTATCTGTACAGCTGTCATTGCTAACCTGCATTTGCCTCACACAGAGTTGGCAGTGAAGAGTAAGAAGATTTCACCCACGTTTTGCATATCAAATGAGAGATGAATGTGTAGTTTTCTTAGAGTAACTAATAGAAGACCAGGCTTTAGGACATGTACAAGGAGTCTTTAAAGATCAATTTATTTTTGACGTTTATTTTTTATAATGTCTATTGTATATATATGGAGCCCTGGTGGCACAGTTGTTAAGAGCTCAGCTGCTAACCAAAAGGTCAGCAGATCAAATCCACCAGCCATTCCTTGGAAACCCTACGGGGCAGTTCTGCTCTGTCCTGTAGGGTCGCTATGAGTTGGAATCGACTTTAACGGCAGTGGATTTGATTTAGTTTTTTGGGGTATTATATATATTGCATTATCAAAATTTTGAGGGGGAAAAAGAGGTGGAGATCTCCCAGATAAGATTTGAAAGACTTCAGCTTCCCAGATCAGCTATAATTTTTGTCTTAATTTCCTTCGTAAGTGGATTTTTATATAGTTGTGCTTCGTCGTGTCTTGTTTTTTCCTTTGATCACATTAAGTGCTGTATGAGTATTTAATGCTTATGTTAAAAACTCGTCATCTGTAATATTAAGGGAAGACTGCAAGGAATTAAATTATTTGTTCTCATTTAGAATTTAAAATCAATTTTAATGTACTAGCATTTTGCTGTTAGTTGAAAAACCAAATTCCAAAAGTTAAAAGTTAAAATTGCAGATACATTATATAAAATTCAGATTCACAACTTCAAAACTATTACATTAGAGCTAATTTTTTAGCTTCTCCAATATTTCTAGAAATTGCAAGGCTTTCATCATATGTTAGAATTTAGGGCTTCCTTTTTAAAACAGGAAACCCTGGTGCCATAGTGGTTAAGAGCTACGGCTGCTAACCAGAAGGTCGGCAGTTCGAATCCACCAGGGTCTCCTTGGAAACCCTATGGGGCAGTTCTGCTCTGTCCGTAGGGTCGCTATGAGTCGGAATCGACTTGACTGTGATGGGTTTTTAAAACACATACCCGATGATTCTGTAAATGTGTTGTGGGAAGTGTACCTTATTTGCGCCATGAAGGTAGTAATATTGTCCTAACATCCTCTTCCATTTATCTTACTAGGAGGAGTTAGCATTCTTACTAAAGGGAGTCAACTTGCTAATACTTTTTTCTTCTTTATAAATAAGGCATGGGGACTGGGGGAGAAGGGGAAGGCTGGGCAATACCTAGAGCCATTAAGATCCTGAGAATTTTTCCCAAAGCACATGAGTCTGTGACTACACTGAATCGCTTTTGAATGTTTGGACATGTTTTGCATGCCACAGAGCCTGACCTCATCGGGGCATTTTTTGTGGTTGGTTATTCACTCTCCTGTCTCTGTTAGTACCTCAGTTTGTCTTTATGAGAGAGAACGAGGAATCTGAGCTTTGGTTAATATTGATGGTGATCACTACTCTTATTTTTGACTCTTCCCAATGTTGTTGTTAAGTGCCATCAAGTCAGTTCCAACTCATAGTGACCCTGTATACAACAGAAGGAAACACTGCCCGGTGCAGTGCCAGTCTTTGCGATGTTTGAGCCCATTGTTGCAGCCACTGTGCCAGTCCACCTCATTGAGGGTCTTTCTCTTTTTTGCTGACCCTCTACTTTACCAGGCATGATGTCCTTCTCCAGGGACTGGCCCCGCCTGATAATATGTGGAAAGGACCTAAGACAAAGTCTCACCATACTTGCTTCTAAGGAGCATTCTGGCTGTACTTCTTCCAAGACAAATTTGTTCATTCTTCTGGCAATATTCTTTGCCAACAACATAATTCAGAGGCATCAATTCTTCTTCGGTCTTCCTTATTCATTGTCCAACTTCCATATGCATATGAGGCAATTGAAAATATCATGGCTTGAGATGCGCCTTAGTCCTCAAGGTGACATCTTTGCATTTAACACAGTAAAGAGGTCTCTTGCAAGCAGATCTGCCCAGTGGAACACATTGTTTGATTTCTTGACTGCTGCTTCCATAGGTGTTGATTGTGGATCCAAGTGTAATGAAATCCTTGACAACTTCAGTGTTTTCTCCGTTTATCGTGATGTTGCTTATTGGTCCAGTTGTGAGTATTTTTGTTTTCATTATGTTCAGGTGTAATCCATACTGAAGGCTGTAGTCTTTGACCTTCATCAGTAAATGCTTCAAGTTGTCTTACTTTCAGCAAGCAAGGTTTTGTCATCTGCATATCGCAGGTTGTTAACCTCAAAACCAACTGCCATCAAGTCGATTCTGACTCATAGCGACCCTACAGGACAGAGTAGAACCGCCCTGTAGAGTTTCCAAGGCTGTGAATGTTTATGAGAACAGACTGATTGCAGGTTGTTAGCCCCCCTGAAATGAGAGATGAGAGTTGATTGTCAGTTTTACTGATGGGGGAATAGGAGCCTTGGTAGGACACAGTGGAGAGAGAGGTCTGTGAGCCCTCTAGGGGTCCTTGATAATTAAGCTCTTTTCCTTTGATTGATTGATCACTTGCTCTGAAACTGCAGTCCAGTTATCTTGGTGAAGGTGAGGTGATGAATATCTCTGGAAGAAAGATAGTGATTGACACATAACTTTGATCCACAGTTTTTTTTAAATTGTGCTTTAAGTGAAAGTTTACAGTTCAAGTTAGTTTCTCATACAAAAATTTATACACACATTGTTGTGTGATGCTAGTTGCTCTCCCTGTAATGTGACAGCACACTGCTCCTTTCCACTTCAGGTTTCCCGTGTCCATTCAGCCAGCTCCTATCCCTTTCTGTCTTCTCATCTCGCCTCTAGACAGGAGCTGCCCATTTAGTCTCATGTATCTACTTGAGCTGAGAAGCATACTCTTCACAACTATCATTTTATGTCTTGTAGTCCAATCTAATCTTTGTCTGAAGAGTTGACTTCGGGAATAGTTATAGTTTCGGGCTAACAAAGTCGGGGGGCCATGGCTTCTGGGGTCGCTCCAGTCTCAGACTATCTACTAGAATTCGAGTTCCGCACCGTACTTTTCTCCTGCTGTGTCAGGGACTCTGTTGTGTTCCCTGTTGTCGGGGCGGTCATTGGTGGTAGCTGGGCACCATCTAGTTATTCTGGTCTCAGGCTGATGGAGTCTCTGGTTTATATGGCCCTTTCTATCTCTTAGGCTAATATTTTCCTTCTGTCTTTGGTTTTCTTCATGACCCACTGTTTTTAATTTTAAAGAATATATTTGGATGCACATATTCATTTCATATGTTAATATTTTCTGCTCTTCTTCCTCGCTCCCTTGACCCTTCTCAAAACACTTACTACATCCAGAGTTAACCAAACTTGAACTATTCCCTTCTCTCCCACCCCCTCAGTTCTGGATATTCAGTCAAATAGAAACTTGTACTGAGGACTCTTGTGAAATATGAAGTTAATGTACAAAGGCTTCAGTATAGAGGACTGAATGCCTCAGTGGCAGCCACCTCTGTGGACACTGGGAGCATATGGGGAAGCAAATTAGGGATATAAGCAGAAGGAAAACTGCCTCGACTATAGTTTGGTACATCTTTGGAAAGAGGTGATGGAAAAGCTCAGTATCATCAGTCAGAACAAGGCCAGGGGCCGACTGTGGAACAGACCATCAATTGCTCATATGCAAGTTCAAGTTGAAACTTAAGAAAATTAGATCAAGTCCATGAGAGCCCGAGTATGACCTTGAGTATATCCCACCTGAATTTAGAGACCATCTTAAGAA